CACCTACCAAGCTCAAGCAATTCTCCTGCCTCAGACTCCCGAGTAGCTGGGATTACAGGTATGCGCCACCACGTCTGGCTATTTTTGTATTTTTAGTGGAGATGGGTTTTTCCCGTGTTGGTCAGGCTGGTCTCAAACTCCTGACTTCAAGTGATCCACCCTCCCCGGCCTCCCAAAGTGCTGGGATTATAGTCATGAGCCTGGCCTGGAGGGCGGTTGTTTTCAGCTTGTTTTCCATTTCCAGGACCCCCAGCCACATTATCTGCTCTTTCCCAAGCACACGCATGCAGTATTCCCGCAGGCCTGTTGAGTTCCAAGGCCCCATGCAAGGCAGCCTGAGAGCCAGAGTGACAGTGCTATGATGAGGCTGACCTTAGACGTGCTTATTTCTCTGAAACCAACTGTACCTTACATCATAAATGCAGGGGAAAGGGGTGCACAGTCCAGACTCCATCCCTGTTGTAATCTGTTTCAGCAGTAGCTGCTGCTGTGCAGGGAGTGGGAGAGGGCCGGATGTAGAGACCGGCATCTCAACCAGACGCAAACCTGCGTGGAATCCTCAGGAAGGCCCGGCCAATGGCAGTGCATGGCTCCGCTGCTGAACCCTCTCCTGCTTGCGGCTGTGTTCCAGGTTGAGATGCAGGAACAAGGACAGTCCTGACGAAAGCCCTGCCCAGCCAGCAAAATGATCCAAAGACTGAGCCAATCACAGGAGCAGAGATGAGCCTGAGAAAGGGCAGTGGCGAGACTGCCAGGGAAATATGCGTAAAGAATAGAGAAGGATGGGAGGTGAGTTCAGAGGCTCCTTGAGGGCTCTGCCTAACTCACCTCTTGCCCCCTCTGCCCATCCTCTGTGTCTAGTTCACAGCAAAAAGGTCAGGGGTCTCCGCTTGCAAATGGAGCCCACCTCCCTCTTGTCTCCTAGAACCAGTATGGAGGGAGGGGCAGGGAAGAATCATAAAAATAAAAGATCAGAAACACCAGGGACCTTAGAAGCAAAGTCCAGCCAAGGAGTCTAAGGTGAACTGCAGCCCAGCCAGTTTAAGGAGCTCGCTCCAGATCACACAGTTTAGTGTCGGATCTGAAATGAGGCCCCAAGATACCTGCCTGTGACCTATAGTGTCTCCCTAGGGATTTAGACCATTTTCCTATTCCAATGCTGCAGGAGTCCCCAGAAAATAATGATTTTAAAAGACCTTATATTTTTTAAAGGGGTGAAGGGTAAGAGAATAGAAAATGGAGAGACTGGAAAAAAGTTTCCAAACTCAAAACATAGTATTTTATTTTTTTAATTAAAAATTTAAAAAAATTTTTTTTGAGATGGAGTCTTGCTTGTTGCCCAGACTGGAGTGCAGTGATGTGATCTCGGCTCACGGCAGCCTCCCCTTGGCTGGGCACATGGCTCACCCCTGTAATCCCAGCACTTTGGGAGGCCGAGTCGGACAGATTATCAGAGACCAAGAGTTTGAGACCAGCCTGGGCAACATGGTGAAACCCCGTCTCTACAGAAAATACAAAAGTTAGCCGAGCGTGGTGGCTGGCGTGTGTCATCCCAGCTACTTCGGAGGCTGAGGCAGGAGAATCACTGAAACCCAGGAGGTGAAGGTGGCAGTGAGCCGAGGTCGCACCCCTGTACTGCATCCTGGGCGACCGAACTAAATTCCCCCTCAATGAAAATAATAATAATAATGATGTTTTCATGATGCTTTATTGATATCTCCTTCATCTTAGTGTATCCAAAGGCTGCTGGCCATCATCAGGTGTGAACCTTTGGAATAAAGTCGCAGAACCAGAGGAAGCACTCACTCCATCTACTGACTTATGCGCTCACAACTACACAGATAACTGGGGGGCATACTTAATCCCCGTTTCTGAATTGACTGAGGGTCGTCAGAGGCCAGTGATCTCCTACTGCTGTTCATCGTGCCTTCCAGCCGCCTTCACATTCTAAGGCAAGTACAACAGGTGAAAAGAAATTGATAGGTCACCAAAGTGTGATATCATATGTATAGGTTCTATCTTATAGAGCAGGTATGATTTAACAACAACAAAAAAGCTTTCCAGGCCGAATGCGGTGGCTCGCACCTGCAGTCCCAGCACTTTGGAGGCCTAGGCAGGAGGATCACTTGAGCCCAGGACCTAGAGACCACCCTGGGCGATATAGTGAGATCCTGTCTCTATTTAAAAAAAAAAAAAAAAAAAAAAGGAAAGAAAGAAAGAAAAAAGAAAAAGAGAAAAAAGTTTTCCAAGCACACCCGAGGACTATAGAAATCACTGTGGTCTAAGCACCTCATTTATAAGCAAAACCATTGATGTTCAGAGAAGAACAGACTTGCCTATGGATATCAAGGTTTTGTCCTGGGATCACACTTTATTCCTTAAAATAATCATCTGTTTTTGAGTTTTCTGATTTTAAAGCTAATTCATTTTTATTCTGGAAAATGAGAAAAATAAGGAACGTTTTGGAGGTTCTAACAAGGGAGTTAGTGCAGCTGCTCACATATCCTTGACCAAAGAATAATCCGGGGCGGGGGGCACAGTGACTCACACCTGTAATCCCAGCACTTTGGGAGGCCAAGGCAGGTGGATCACTTGAGATCAGGAGTTTGCAACCAGCCTGGCCAACATGGCAAAACCCCATCTCTACTAAAAATACAAAATTATCTGGGTGTGGTGGCCTGTGCCTGTAGTCCCAGCTACTTGGGAGGCTGAAGCAGGAGAATTGCTTGAACCGGAGAGGCAGAGGTTGCAGTGAGCCGAGATTGCACCACTGCACTCCAGCCTGGGTAACAGAGGGAGACTCTATCTCAAAATAATACTTAATTAATTAATTAATTATAAAAATAAGAATGAACCTCCTCTGTTGGGTTTGGTCATCCTCTTCGACTGAGCACACAGTTTCAAGACGGAGAAACTTCCTACTGCTCAGCAGCAAGTGTTTTTGATTACTTAGCCCCAGGTCCCCTCACAAGCATGGACTTGACTTCCCCAAATTTTTCTTTCTTCTTTTATTGCAGACCCCTGGGATTCAGTTTACCATGGCGCTTCTCTCAACAGCAGTCACCAGCAAACCACTGAACCCCTTGGGCTCCTGCTTCCCTTCACCCAAGACCAACTACCATCCTTTCCTTTTTTTTTTTGAGGTGGGGTCTCACTCTGACAAGCATGCTAGAGTGTAGTGGCACAATCTTGGCTCACTGCGGCCTCTGCCTCCAGGGTTTAAGTGATTCTCCCACCTCAGCCTCCCAAGTAGCTGGGACTACAGGCATGTGCCACCACACCCAGTTAATTTTTGTATTTTTACGTTGAGATGGGGTTCCACCAGGTTGGCTAGGCTGACCTTGAACTCTTCACCTCAAGTGAGCCACCAGCCTCGGCCTCCCAAAGTGCTGGGATTATAGACATGAGCCACCACACCTGGCCAGAAATGTGAAAATTTTTTTAAAATTATTTTAATGCCAATTTAAATATAAAACACATAACCTAAGCAGACTCTGTGTCATCTGGTTGACATCCTTATAATCAGCTATTGTGGAGTGATTCCAGTTTCCAAGGAAACTGCTGTTTATCATCATATCAGTGGCAAATGACTTCCCTAATAACACATTTTAACTTTTAATCCTGCATTTTTTTAACTAGTTCCCATCTCCCTGAGGAGTTAGAAGATATATTTTCAGATGTATTCTAAAAATTAGTTTTTGTCTAAACAAGTTTTATACATAACTCAGCTGAAGAAACCCTGGCTGAAAAGATGAAGCCCAGCCTTCTCAGACTTTTTATCTGCACTGGGGGCACTCAGGGGTCCAGGCCACCTGCTTCTGCTCCACCCTTGGACGTCCCGGCCATGTGCTGCCCCCTACAGGCCTGACCACAACACCTGCAGTGCCTCAAACATCACGCAGCTTCCTGCCTCTGCACCCACTCCTCTGCCTGGCCAGCACACTGGGTGACCCTATTCTACTCACTCAGATGAGCCAGGACAGCTCCGTGACCTTTCTGCAACTCCACTTTTCTCATCTAGAGATAGAGTTAACGACATCTACTTCTCCCGCAGATGTTTAGGAATAAGATACGGTGTGGAGAGCACCTGGTGTGAACTCAGCACATAGCTGTGATAGTGACCGTTCCCCGTTATCCTCATCACCACATCCTTTCCTCACATCTAAGATGGTGCCACAATCCACCACCTCAGAGAGAAAACAAAAGGGGAGGTCCCAAACTTCCTGCTCCACCACCTACACCTGCCCCTCCTGATCCGTCTCCTCTGGTTTCAACAAGCAGGTGTTCTTGCTCCTGTCTCAGGCTAATTCTGCACGCACATCAGGGAGCCCCACCCCAGCTTCCCCCAGGCTTCTCTATTTGGTCAATTTATTAATTCATTCATTCAACAAGGATCCATGAGTGCTAATTATGTGCCAGTCACTATCCTAGGTGGTAGAGTCGTAGAAGTGAACAAAACCAAGTTCTCATTCAAAAACAACATACCTTGTCCTAGGAGGCAGACAGGAACAAACTAAGTGATACCTAAGGTGTGCTGGAAGATGGCAAGTGTCCAGGAGAGAAATAAACCAGAGTGAGGAATAGCAGAACTTGCATTTTTTTTTTAAGGAGGCTTGATTTGTGGTTCAGGCTAGAGTGCAGTGGGGCTGTCATAGGTCACTGCGGCCTAATTTTTTACAAAGACAGGGATGTCTCAGCCAGGCGTGGTGGCTCACACCTGTAATCCCAGCACTTTGAGAGGCTGAGGTGGGTGGATCACCTGAGGTCAGGAGTTCAAGACCAGCCTGGTCAACATGGTGAAGTCCCGTCTCTACTAAATATACAAAAATTAGCCAGGCGTGGTGGCAAGTGCCTGTGATCTCAGCTACTCGGTAGTCAGGAGAATCGCTTGAACCCAGGAGGTGGAGGTTGCAGTGAGTCGAGTTCACGCCATTGCACTCCAGCCTGGGCAACAGAACGAGAATGAAACTCTGTCTCAAAAAAAAAAAAAAGAAAAGAAATGGTCCAGATGGAGTTGCCACTTACTGAGATGGGGAAACTGAGGGAGAAGCAGACTGTGGAGGCCGGGGGAGGAGCCAGCACAGAATCTGGAGGTCAGCTTTGGATAGGTTTGGGTTGAGGAGCTTACTAGGGATCCCCGTGGAGATGTGGAGCAGGCAGGTCAGTAATAAATGTGCAGTCCAGGCAACGGGTCCGGGCTGGAAACACAAGTTATTCTCTTTGTCCTCTTCAGGTTCGTGTTGTTGCCACTGCCTGTTTCCCTTACCTAATGTGTTAGTGATCTATTGCTGCATAACAAATTACCACAAACTTAGTGGTTTCAAACAGTACACTTTTCCAGACTGACCAACACAGTGAAACTCATCTTTATGAAAAAAAAAAAAATTGCCCAGTGGGGTGGCACATCCCTATAATCCCAAGTACTTGGAAGGCTGAGGCACAAGAATCGTTTGAACCCAGGAGGTGGAGGTGGCAGTGAGCCGATATTGTGCCATTGCATCCAGCCTGGGCAACAGAGCGAGATCCTGCCTCAAAAATAAATTAATAAGTAAAACAGTATGCTTTTATCACTTCAGTCCAGGCAGAGCTGAGTGGGCTTCTCTGCTCAGAACTTCACAAAGCAAAAGTCAAGGTGCTGTCCAGGCTGTTGCCTCATCTGGAGTCTTGACTGCGGGATAATCCTTTTTCCAGACCACTCAGGTCACTGACAGAATTCATTTCTTTACAGTCATAGGACTGAGGGACCCAACTCCCTGCAGGCTGGGGCTGGAGGCTGCTCGGAGCTCCTAGAGGTCACCACAGCTCCTTGTCATGTAGCGCTCCTAAAGTGGCTGCTTTCCTCTTCGCAGCCAGCTAGGAAGACAGAGCCTCTGGAGTGGGTCAGCTAGCAAGACAGTCTTACGCGAAATAATGCAGTCATGGAAGGGACAGCCCATCAGCTTTCCCATATTTTATTGGCTAGCAGCAAGCCATAAAAATTGTTTCTGCCAATTAGAATGACTAGCCATCAAATACAGTATACACACTGTTGTACCCGAGTGAGTCAAGGAATGCGCCACACTCTGAGAATGAATTATGAGTCCTTCATTAAGCCGGCGACCAAGAGTGGCTAACGCCCAAAATTCTCCCGGCCCCAAAGAAAAAGATAGGTGGTCTTTTTTACACTAGTTTTAACAGGAAGGGGGGAACTTAGCTGAAACAAAGCTTTCACAAAGGCAGAGTAAGCAAAAAGTTAGAAAGAAAAACTGATACATAAGAAATGAAACAGTGCCAGGTGTGAGGAGTGCAGCTGTCATGGAAGACATACAACTTATAGACAAGGGGGCTTGGGACGCTCACTGCAGCTGCGTTTCCAGGCTCTGCTGACACCACTTAACTCAGCCTCTTATCAGCAAAGGCATTCCTGGGTGCCCAGAGTCAGTCTGACCTTGCTTTATACTATAGTTACATACTTAGTGGGGAGAAGGTTACTAAAATCAAGAAGCTAAGATGGCGTCTGTCCGGCTCAAGAAGCTAACATAAAGCCTGAACAGCTTTTAGTCAGGAAAAGGAGACTTAGTTGTAGCTGGCAAAAAACAGGGTATCACATTCCCCACTTGTGTGTTTTGGGGAATCAAATCACTGATTGCTCAGTTACAGTGAGAGGGTTATATTGGGTTCTAAGACATATATGTTTGACAGCTGCTACGCCCCGTTTTACAAAATTAATAAACCAATTTAATAGACAGGGCCCACAAATTAATCCCAACAGGAGGAGGAGAAGAGGTCCTGCTGTTCCAGTCATTAAAGTAGTCGGCCAGGGTTCCAGTTAAACATGCCCTGGTGTCATGGGGTGTTACTTTTTCATTCCTGTTGGTGTCTATCTATATTTCCTCGAACCTTTTGAAGAGTGTCTCTTATGACTCCAGGCCGGTTAGCATAAAAACAACAGCTTTCCCCCAACGCTGCACACAAACCCCCTCGGGAGAGAAACACCAGGTCCAGGCCGCGGCGGCCTTGGAGGACTGCTTCAGCTAAGGAATCAACCTGGGCATGCAGTGTAGTTATGGCTGACTGGACATTCCTCAAATCAGCATCTACTTGTTGGGTTAGGGAATCCAGTCCAGTTTCTCCTCGGACTAGTGCTGCTGTGCTGATTGCTGTTGACCCAGCCACACTGAGGCCAGCCAAAAGGCGGACTAGGAGAGGGGCACCTCAGCGCACTCTGGGGTGCAGTTCAGGAGGGGCACTGAGAAGCTGTCCCTCTGTCTGCTGTAGACATAAACCTGAGGAAGTACATGAACTAGCAGGCACAGGAGGGGTCCAGGTTCAGTCCCATTAATGCAGCGGGTGAGGCCTGAGGTGCAAGCCAGCCAAGTGTTATTTGGTGCCTGGTGGGAGACTGAAGTAGTCAGGGAAGTAGGCAGAGACCGATTACAGGTGACCTGGAAAGGGGGAAGCAGATAGGTTGTACCCCTAACTGACTAGGCAGGAGGCGTTTCCTGAAACATCCCCTAATGTAACGGAGTGAGGACAGGCACGACACGAAAGAGGACCAGGCTTTAACTTAACCTCAACTCCCAATCCAACATAATATGGAGGTTTGGCCTTCAGGCACAACCAACAGTCTTGGGCCAGCTTAGGCTGAGTAATATTAAGGAGGTGGTGTACTCCTCCTAAGACGGACATTAAGCTGGGTTGGAGGTGCTGGGGTTGCAGTCGGAGTTGGGGAGCCTGGACTGGCAATGGGGCAGTTGGGCCAGTGGGGCTGACCTTATCTGGGTGTGGGTGGAACATAGGGTCCCCTAAATCAGTTAAAGGACCTATGGGTTTAGGGGGGCTCCAGGGGATCAAGACCCTCTTCTGAATGGTAAACATAGTTCCAAGATCAAACCCTCCGATATAGAGTCGCAGTCCCAATGTTATACTGTAGTACCATTGAACAGAGTTAGGGTTATGAACAGTCATAGTTATGGGATTACAGGCTCCCATGGTACACAGTTCAGGACGAGAGGTTCGGGCTATGGAAAGGATTGGAGACCAGGTCGGCCCTCCCGGGTAAGTAGTCAAAGTTAAGCATGACCAAGAAGGGCAGAAAAACTTATAACTACCCCGGCAGGTAGTGTGAGGGTGGTCTCCAGGACAGAGGTAGAAATCCACTTGTTGGAGTCCCATTTCTGCACCCTCCGAGCTGCCGCATCCACTTTCACTTCCGACGTGTCCAAATCCTGCAGCAAGGTCAACAATTCCCGCTCCTGTCCACAGGGGCAAACTTTGCTGGTCCTTGAGGGAACGGCTGGGCTTTGGGAACAAAACACAAATCGATTGAAAAGGAAACTTCATTGGAGGTACCGTCTTTCCAGGTGATGTTTGCAAGCACTCTGTCCGATGCAAAGGAAGTAAGGAGAAAAGAGTAGGAGGGGGCTGAGGGCTGAATGACCAGGAACAGACAGGAAACATAGACCCAAAGAACTAGTCTGATGGCTGCATCTGACTCAGACGCAGTTTTAAGGGGCCTGGCCCATGCTTGGGGACCCATGTTTCTTGCTGTGTCTCGTAAGCCTTCTTGATGCGGGAGTGATGAATCCAGGCAGGAATACTGTCCGCCTTTAGGGCCGTGGGTGTAGTAAGGATGACGGTGTGAAGTCCTTTCCAAGCAGGGACCAGACCTTCCTTCTGGAACTTTTTGACATACACCAGGTCACCTGGACGGAAAGGGTGGCAGGGTCCTGTCAGATCAGGAGCCAGATTAGGGTGTGCCTCCCACACGTGACTGGATAATACCTTAAACCTCTTGGAGAGACTGCAAGTACTGTAACAAGTTAGCCTGGGATATTTCTAACTGGGTACTCCTTAATTTAGGCAAAACAGGTGGGGCCCTCCCATACATAATCTCAAAAGGAGTGAATCCCACCCTGTAAGGAGTGCACCTGACCCTAAGAAGGGCTAAAGGAAGGCGCTTTATCCAATTTTCACCGGTCTCCAGGATTAATTTGGTAAGAGTACTTTTTAAGGTATAATTCATGTGTTCTACTTGTCCAGAGCTCTGGGGCCGGTAGGCACAATGGAGCTTCCACCGAATATTTAATGCCTTGCTGACTGACTGAGCTATGGATGAGGTGAAGGCCGGCCCATTATCAGTGGAATGGCAACAGGCAATCCATAGTGAGGGATAATTACATTGAGTAAGAACTTTATTACCGTAGTGGCAGTCTCATTCACAGTGGCAAAAGCCTCCGTCCATCCAGAAAACGTGTCTGCCAACTCCAGGAGGCACTTAAACCCTGCCCGGTGTGGCTTCACTTCAGTGAAGTCAACTTCCCACCTTTCTCCTGGGCTATATCCTAGGAGAAGATGGTCCAATCCAGGCTTCACGCCTTGCCTGGCATCACCTGTGCACAGCTGTGCACCGGGAGGCCACTTGCCTAGTTCAGTCCTGGAGATGTGGGATTTTAAATTGGTTTCTCAAAAGTGGGGCCAACTTTGTTTCTCCCAAATGGGTGGAAGAGTGGAGGTGGCTGATCAAAGCTTCTCCAGGGGCCCAGGTCAGGAAGATTCAGGAGTCTGGAAGGATCCACCATCCGTCCTGATTTTTACTGGCTTGCAGATCCGATGCCTGCTTTTCTTCTTCAGAAGAGTACGTTGGGTGGTCAGGTAAATCAGGCTGTGGAAAAGAGTTGGCAGAGCAGAGTTAAAGGAGTAATCGGGAGAACCGCAGCCTCACGGGCGGCACAGTCTGCCTCTGGTTTCCCCTAACAACAGTAGTATTTTTTTTTTTTTTATGTCCTTTGCAATGAATTACAGCCACCTGTAGGGGGAGCCAGACAGCCTCGAGCAGGGTTAAAATCTTTTTTCTCTGACAGTTTTTCCTGATAAGGTGAGCAGCCCCTCCTCTTGATAGATGGTCCCAGGAACATTTACAGTAGCAAAAGCGTATCTGCTATCAGTGTAGATGTTAACGCGTTTGTCCTTACCCCATCGGAGGGCTTGAGTTAGGGTAATAATTCAGCCTCCTGTGCAGAAGCAGCAGCTGGCAGTGCCTGAGCCCACAGTACTTCAATCTCCATGACGACAGCTGCACCTCCTTTCCATACCCCCTGCTCAAGGAAACTGCTTCCAATCTGTAAATAAGGTGGCATCCACCTTTTTCAAAGGAGTGTCCTGGAGATCAGGTCTACCTGCCTCTGTAATTTCTAGTCATTCCTGGCAGTCATGAATAGGGGTGGCAAAGTCTGGGTCAGGGAGCAGAGTGGCTGGATTTAAACACCTTGTTGGGGAGAAAGTTAAGCAAGGCTAACAGTAAACACTAATGTTGTAGGATACGTGCATTAGACATCCATTTGCCTGGAGCACCTCGTAGCAGTTTCTACAGCATGTGGTGCTGTAAGGGTTACCTTCCGGCCCAGAGTGAGTTTATCAGCCTTGTGAACTAGGATTGCTGTTGCAGCAACTGCTTGCAGACAACTCGGCCACCTGGAAGCCACATGGTCCAGTTTCTTTGACAAATATGCCACTGGGCGTCGCCATGTCCCCAAGGTTTGAGTGAGTACCCCTTTAGCCACTCCCTGATTGTCATGGATAAACAAGTGAAATGGTTTTGGGATGTTTGGAAGGGATAAAGCAGGGGCCTCAGTCAGTGCCTTTTTTAAGTTTTGGAAGGCCTGCTCTTCCTTGTCAGTTCAAACCAAAAGGCCATTCCCTCCTGTAATGGTGTACACAGGCTTGGCAATTTCTGCAAACTCAGATATCCACAGGAGATGATATCCCACAGCCCCCAAGAATTCACGTGCTGGTTTCTTGGTGGTGGGGGTGGGGATTCCTAAGACGGCCTCCTTTGGAGCATTGGTGAGTGCTTTTTCCTTTCTTTAGTTCATATCCTAAGTAGGAGAACCTGGAAAGACAAAGCTGGGCCCTTTTGGCTGAAACCTGACATCCAAGCTCCTGAAGGGATAAAGCAGGTCCTTAGTATGTAGCAGACAGCTTTCAGCAGTCTCAGTAGCCAATTATAAATCATTCACATACTGGAGTAGGGTGCAGTTGGGATGGCTGGCTTGGAATGCCACAGGTCCTGCTGAAAGGCTTCCCCAAAAAGAGTTGGAGAATTTTTCAAACATTGGGGCAACCAAGTCCAAGTTAATTGGGTCGTGTCTCCCAAGCCAGGGTCTGTCCATTCAAAAGCAAAAATGGGGTGGCTCTTAGGGGCCGAAGGAATGGCAGAGAAAGCATCTTTTAAGTCCAGGACAGTGTACACGGTATGTTCTGGTTGGAGCAAGCTGAGCAGTACATAGGGGTTAGGGAAAGCTGACTGGACTGTGACTGTCTGTTAACTTCCCACAAGTCCTGTACAGACCGGTAATCATTTGTCCCAGGTTTTTGAAATCGCACAGATAGAGTGTTCCAAGCAGACTGACAAGGAGTAAATTATATTTGCTTGCAATAGCCATTGAATATGGGGGCTGATTCCTTCTCTAGCCCGGTGGTTGATAGGATATTGTCTGACCCAAACAGGCAGGGCATCAGCCTGAAGTTCTATAATCACCGGTGGATGGTGTTTGCCAGTACTGGGGGGTTTGATTCTGCCCGAACCCGGGGGAAAAGAGCTTGTAGATCCAGTAGGAGAGGGCTAATTTGGTTTTCTTTTGGGAGTGATGATAAGACTAAAAGAGACTCTTCTGACAAAGGAGTGGTCAGCAGGAGCTGAGCAGGAGGGGGCTCTGTGTCTCCTAACTTGAGTTTGCTGAGCCGAGAAGGAGAGGAGGTCTGCAGCTTGTGGAGCAGGTCGCGCCAAAGAAGAGGGAGGGGGCACTCTGGAACTACTAGAAATGAATGGGTTACTGTCTTTTGGCCTAAATGAACTTCACGTGAGTGGGTGACAGGCTATTCTTGAATAGCTCCAGTAGTCCCCTGTACAGTCATTTTCTTGTTAGAAACACTCCCCAAGGGTGTCTGTAGTACAGAATGTTCAGCTCCAGTATTGATTAAAAAGCGTACAGGCTGGCCCCCCGCAGTTGCAGTAACCATGGGCTCCCGGGGGCTGAGTGAAAAGGAGCCCCGGTCCCATCAATCATCAGATTCCTCTCCTGTGGGGAGGGTGAGGACTCTTTTTTTGTTCTCTTTTCTTTTCTGGCTTTAAAGGACATTTGTCCTTCCAGTGCCTTGTCTGTTTACAGAAGGCACACTGGTCCCTTTGTAGGGCAGCCTGTTCACCTTTCTGGATTTTCTGGCAGGGTCCGGAGTCCTCTGGCTGGTGCTTTGTGATGGGAGTTCCTCCTTTTTTGCTTCCCGGAGGGCGGCCACTATAACTTTTGCTTGCCTTTTCCCTGCCCTGTCGGCTGTCCCATCAGCAGCTTGAGCTGCCTGCTTTTCCTTTTCAGTTTCTCGGTTATCAAAAACCTTTTGGGCTACTTCTAAAAGCTGAGTGATGTTCATTCCAGCAAAACCCTGTAACTTTTGTAACTTTTTCTGAATGTCTGGAGCTACCTGGGCCACAAATGCCAAATTTACAGCACGGCTATTTTTAGGAGCCGCTGGATCAAACGGGGTGTAAATTTGATAGTCCTCCTGGAGGTGCTCTAAGAACGCTCCGGGTGACTCCTCAGCCCTCTGAACCACTTCTGTGGTCTTAGACAAGTTCGTGGGTTTCCTGGTGGCTCCTTTAATACCGGCAAGGAGATACTGGTGGAAATTTTCCAAAGCCCTCCTCCCCCCCTCCCCCAGGTGTTAGGGTCCCACTCAGGTCGGGTAGAAGGAAAAACCTCCTCAAGGAGGTTTAGGACTTCCTCCCTAGGCTTCCCTTCTGAACTAAGGAAATGGTTTCTGACTTCCCTTTTAATCCTTTCCCTCTCTTCAGAGGTGAAAAGGGTAAGAAGGAGCTGTTGACAGTCGTCCCAGGTGGGCCTATAAGTCTGAAGTACAGATTCCATTAGCACAGTTAGGACCTGGGGCTTTTCAGAAAAGGGGATTTTGAGGTCTCCAATTGTACAGGTCAGAGGTGGAAAACAGAACATAAACTAAAAACGGAGCCGCAGAACGCTCACTGCCTGGCAGGGGTGGCGTCTGCCTCAAGGGGAAGAGTGGAGTAGCTTCCCCTAACGGGGGCGCAACCTTGGGGTAGTGGGCAGAGAAACCGCCTGAGACACCAGCTCGGGGTGGGGTGGGGGAGGGTAGGCGCCGGAGGTGTCGTTGGAGAGATTGTGCTGCGTCCTTGATTATAAGGTGGTGGTAACGGGTGTAAAGGGCTTCCCTCTGCCTCAGGGGGGGCAATACAGGGGGGCCGAAGAGGCCACTAGAGCAACCAGTTGGGGCCAGGAGGGGACTTTTTCAGAAGAACCTTAGAGATGGGGTCATGAACAGCCTAAGGTCGGAGCCACGGGGAGGGTTCTGAACCAAATTAAGCCATTGATCAATATAGGGAAACCGATCAGGGTGCACGAGCTTTCCGGTAACAACCTGCCACACAGCTTTAACTGTTGAGGGGTTTAACGAGCCGGAGGCCACCTGGTTTTAAGTTTCGGCCACTCCAGAGTCCAGAGTTTGCCTTTCTTAAGGTGGACTCCGTAGTTCTCTGAGAAGCCTAGAGAAAAGTTCTTTAGCGTAGACTGCAGGGGGCTCAGTGACTGGGGCCGGGAGGAAGAATTTCCCATTGTGAGCACAAATACTTAACAGGATTCTAAACCAAAATGTCAGACCCAGCACGGGCAAAAGTATTCACGACCTGGAGGCGTGGAGAATCGGGAAAACAGGAAGATTATAACCAGGAGAAACAAGAAAAGGGCTCCAGCCGCTATTTCTTGCCACAACACTTAGTATTTTCAGACTCTGAATTACGGGAAGAAGGCTAATAGTCTAGGGGAGGCTCTGCACGGCTGCCTGGGACTGGGGCTGTACCTCGCCCCTCCCGGCTGTTTTTCTCCAGCGCGGCTGTAGTCTTAGCTCCAGGTGCTAGGCAGTTCCCAGCCCGCAAGGAGCCAAAGGCTCTGGGGGTGCTGTCTGCTGGCCTCACCTTACAGACTCTGCCTTACTGACTTACGCGAGAAAAAACTGCACTTTTGAATTCCAGCGAGCGCCGCTGCTTTGGTGTTCTTCGAGAGACAGGACAGAATGCGGGGGAGGCAGAACACCCAGGCTGAAAAGTCCCCAGTTTACATGCTCTGGGTAGTCTGCCCCTATGCTTATATCCGAGACACCTCAGATGTCTCCACGTTTTAAAAGCAGAGTGTTCAAATTCGGCCCTTTCTCGTAAAGGTTTAAGGAAAGACAACAAAGCCAAGTCCTGGACTCGCTGAGACACAGGAAATTGAGACAATCAGGGTAAAGGACGGGAATGTGGAGGAAAAGGGCCACCCGAAGTCTCCTGAAGATCAGAGACCAACCACAGTGGGGAATAATATGACTGCAGAAGAATTAGACTGTTACAGGTATAGGTTTCTCTGTACTGAGTTCTGTCTAAGGGTACTGGAAAGCGGTGGAGTGACAGAACAGGTGGGCAAGATCTGCAGGATGGCTATTGTGAATCCACCACTGTTCTGAGAAAAAGAGAGCAATGCACCCAGTCGTTGGGGCGTGGGAAGTGACAGCCCAGGCGCCAGCAATCCGCGTGGTGCCGCAAATCACGGTCTGGTGAACGTGTGTCACAATTTTCTCCGTAACAACACCTGATTTGTGTTTGACAGAAAAGGCAGGACTGCGTTGGCCAGCCCAACCGGCAAATGAGGAATTTTACCTCCTCAGACAAGAAGTTTTTTCTTTTTTTTTCTTTTCTTTTTCTTTTTTTTTTTTTAAAGACGGGGTTTCACCGTGTTGGTCAGGCTGGTTTTTCCTAGCCGACTTGGGCAGTAACGGCAGCCAGACACACAGTCTTACGCAGACAGTAGACACTGGGACATACAAACAATTATGACGGTTTGGACAAACAGAAAAATCTTGTGTTGGGGCCACTTAGATGCTCCTCTGGCCGCTCCCCTGACGGGGACATCAGGCCTCTCTTAGCATAGGCAGTCCGGTACAAAGCCCCGGCGGGACTGAGCTGAGCTCGCTGCCATAAGCCTTATGAGATGACCACGGAACCGCAGAAAAATAGCCCAGTCGAGCCCCATGGCTTCCGCTGTGGGGCTACAAATTGGAATTTCAAGGGAAGGCCCTTGAACTCCCTATTCACTCACACATGCACTCACCATTTACACAGAGTTTATTGCACATTTTATTTCTATTTTTAGGACAGAGTCCTCCAATTTAAATAAGAAGGAAAAGGAGAGACAGAGAGAGAGACACTCCCTAATAGAAACCAATACTCTGCTCACCAATGTACTGAAGTGTCAGCACAGCTAACAGAACCCAGAAACCAGGACCAGGACTCTCCCCCGAGAGTCCTGACCGGGAACCAGGACTCTCCCCCTGGAGTCCTGACCCCGGAACCAGGACTCTCCCCCCGGAGTCGTGACCCGGAACCAGGACTCTCCCCCCCGCCCCCGGAGTCCGGAACCCAGAACCAGGAGTCTCCCCCCGGGAGTCCGGAACCCGGAACCAGGACTCTCCCCCACAGGAGTCCGGAACCCGGAACCAGGACCAGTGACTCTGGGGCACTCAGAGTCCAGGGTCGCGGGAATCACCGTACTCAATTCCGGCGTCCCGGTAATTGGATGATTCCTGTACTTCCAAGAATAACCAGATTAGGCCTGACTTACCTTCCGGGAGCAGAGACAGAGGACTCAGGAGCCAGATTTGGTGGGCAAAGCGGCGGCCGATCCCTTCCCTTCCGGACTCCGTGGGCCACGGGGCCCTGGGACGTCTCAGCGGGCGCCCCCTATAGGCCGCAGCTCATCTGGGGAAGACCAAATGAGACTGGTCGCGCGCGTTGGCGACCGTAAATCTCGCTGGGCCTCCAAATGTTGTTCCCAAGCGAGTCAAGGAATGCACCACACTTTGAGAATTAATTATGCGTCCTTTATTAAGCTGGCGACTGAGAGTGGCTAACGCCCAAAATTCCCTCGGCCCTGAAGAAAAAGTTAGGTGGTCTTTTATACACTAGTTTTAACAGGAAGGGGGGAAGCTAGCTGAAACAAAGTTTTCACAAAGGCAGAGTAGCAAAAAATTAAAAAAAAAAACTGATACATAAGAAATAAAACAGTGCCAGGTGTGAGGAATGCAGCTGTCATGGAAGACATACAACTTACAAAAAAGGCAGGCTGGGGCGCTCACCGCAGCTGTATTTCCAGACTCTGCTGATACCACTTAGCCTCTTATCAACAAAGGCATTCCTGGGGCAGGTGTGGTGGCTCATGCCTGTAATCCCAGCACTTTGGGTGGCTGAGGCAGGCAGGTCACCTGAGGTCAGGAGTTTGAGACCAACCAGACCAAGATGGTGAAACCCGTCTCTACTAAAAATACAAAAATTAGCCGGGTGTGGTGACAGGTGCCTGTAGTCCCAGCTACTCTGGAGGTGGAGGCCTGAGAATTGCTTGAACCCAGGAGGCGGAGGTTGCGGTGAGTCAAGGTTGCGCCACTGTCCTCCAGCCTGGGCAACAGAGCAAGACTCCGTCTCAGAAAAAATATATATGTATATAAATAAATAAATGGCTCGTCATAGAACGTTTTTTAAAAAAACAGGCATTCCTGGGTGCCCAGAGTCAGTCTGACCTTGCTTTATACTATAGTTACATACTTAGTGGGGAGAAGGTTACCAAAATGAGGAAGACAAGATGGCGTCTGTCCGGCTCAAGAAGCTAACATAAAGCCTGAACGACTTTTAGCCAGGAAAAGGAGAGTTAGTTGTTAGTTTTAGCTGGCAAAAAGCAGGGTATCACATTACTATCCTTTTTTCATAGACCTGAGTAATTCTTCCTGCCTCTTTGCCAACTGTCTCATCAATCCTCAGTGCCCTCTTTGGTCCTTCCCTATTCCTGGGCACTCCTGTTCAGAATTCTTGCTCTACTTGGTTCATAATTGCTGATGTTACTTTATGCTTTGGCCTGGGGCTCCCCCAACTCCTTTTTTTTTTTTTTTTTTTTTTTTTTTGAGACAGAGTCTTGCTCTGTCACCCAGGCTAGAGTGCAGTGGCATGATCTCAGCTTACCATACGCAGCTACTTTTTGTATTTTTAGAAAAGAGAGGGTTTCATCTTGTTGGCCAGGCTGGTCTCGAACTCCTGACCACAAGTGATCCATCCACCTCCGCCTCCACCTCCCAAAGTGCTGGGATTACAGGTGTGAGCCACCACACCTGGCCTTTGGCTCCCTTTTATACCACACGTGGTCCCTGTGGGGCCAAATCTGTTTTCAGAGCTCTAGCCCCTAAGCAGACCCCACTGGCTCCTGCATTTCTGTCTCAAGCACCTCCTACTCCCTGAACTCAATGCCCACCAGAGGTCCCAGAGGCATCTCACAATCAGTGTGTCCAAAACTAAACTCCCATCAACCCTGTCTCTCTGTCTTTATCTGAGTGAATGACACTACCCAGTAGGCATTTCAACTCCTCTAGCTCTTTCTTATCCCCCACATCTGACTAATATCCAGTCCTGCTATTTGCATTTTCTTTCGACGAGTCCGGCTTCGTGGCTAGAGCACAGACTCTGGAGCAAAACAGCCTCAAAGCTCAAAGCTCAGCTGAGACAGAAACCACTTTATGACCCTGGGGGAGCTATTTAACTTCTCTGGAGCTCAGGTGCCTCATCATGGTAGGTTCTATATAAGTATAAGCTTTTATTAAGAGTAGTAATCAATCCTTTCCCCGCTCCTCCAATCCTAAGGCCCCATCAGTTTCTTGACTGGAGTGTCACAGTAGCTTTCTTCCTGGTCTCCTTGTCTTCTACTATCTGATTCTCCAATGAGGATTGGCTATATTGTGTAATAATAGCTGTCATCATTCCACAGAATACAATGTAAATGGCACCCCTACTTCCCATCTTCCCTGGCACCCATCCCACTGCCATTTCCAATGTATACATTTTCTCATGCCAATTCTTAAAAAGATTTTCTCTTCACCTTCAAACTAAAACTCCACTCCACAACAGGCACCAGCTGATAGCATCTCCTGGAGAGGTAGATTTGGCAGTCGTCAGTGGAGGGATCATAGCCAAACCTTTCATAATGGTTTGATGACATTCATTAAGGGTTAGTATGTGTAGGTGCTGTGCCAGGTCTTCCCCAAATAACTTAAGAAGCAGGTGGCATCCCTACCCATAGCTGAAGAAACAAAGACATTGAGTGAGAAATGGACTTAAAGGTCAGAGAGATGAAGAGCTGGGCTCAGAACTCCTAATCTGAAGCTTATTACCTTGGCTGCTTCTTTGTGTCAAAGTGACTTGGATCCTCCAGGCAAAGGTGGGGATGTTCAATCTTACTGATACAATTTCAAGCAGCACAGCTCCTGATAGACTGTGAATTTAAAAATAAACAAATGAATAAATAAATAAAGACTGATGGATGGATAGGGATGAACAGAAAGGTGGATTATAATAAAGTAAGAAAGTAAAATAATAATTGTACAATCTACATGGTAGGTATATTGGAATTTACTGAAAATTCTTTTACCTTTGCTATACAGTTTAGAAGTTTTAAACTGTTGGGGAAGGGGAAGGGGGAAGGAAAACATTGTATTTTTCTGTTGATAACATAGACCAGAAGTACTACTGGCTTAAACAGAACAAGGGTTTATTTTCCTTTCACAGAAAATAAACTTATTTAGAAATTTACCTTGATTATTAATATATGATAAAATTTTTAAAAAGAAAAAATTGTTTTGAAATAAATTTGGATGGTGACAGTCCAAGGCTGATCTGGCACCTCAGAGATGTCATTCATGCCCCAGCCTGCTTCTGTCTTCATTCTCTGCTGTCCCAGTGTGAGGCTTCCAACCTCAAGGTTGCCTCATGGTCCCAGGGTGGGTACTGCACCTCCAGGTCCAAAGTCCATGTTCTAGGCAAAAAGAAGAAGAAATTAGGGAGAATGCACCCTCACGCTCCCAGCTATTTTGGCCTTCCCTTTGAAGGATGTCTGGGAGAAGCACAGGCCCTTCCTCAGTGGTTTCTGCCCAGCAACTGATGAGAAATACTGCCTCTTAGCCAGTCAAAACACTAATTCTTCCAAACAGAGCCTCTGTTAGTGTTTCTCATGGTGAGAAGACAATATTCGCTTTCTCTTTTTTGTTTCTTCCAGATGGGAGACCAAGCCAAATTAGAAAGAATGGAGAATTATTGATTGACCATCTTTATTCTCTGATTCTCCAATGAGAATACCAAGGAGTAAGTACAGGAAATTGATGAGAGCCTGGGCTACAACGTCTGGGAGGAGTGGGGCTGAATCTCCGCGTGGTGAGTGGGCAGGCAGGAGAGCACTCGCCCAGAGAAAGGGGTGTGGAGCCTCTGTGTGTGTGTGTGTTTGTGTGTGTGTGTGTGTGTGTGTGTGTGTGTGTGTACATGTGCACAGCAGCAAATGCACATATGGGCATGTGGGAAGACAGAAGTATTGCAAAGAATAAGGACCTGCAGAGATTGGGATTTAGTGGAAGGAGAGGAAGACAGCATGAATGAAGAAATATTCCAACTGCATGTTTTTAACGTATTGTGGTCAGAAAAGGGCAAAAAGAAAAAAAAAAGACTTAAAATCTGTTCTGCTTTTTTTTTTTTTTTTTTTTGAGGTGGAGTTTCACTCTTGTTGCCCAGGCTGGAGTGAAGTGATGCGATCTTAGCTCACTAAAACCTCTGCCTCCCAGTTTCAAGCAATTCTCCTGCCTCAGCCTCCGGAGTAGCTGGAATGACAGGCCTGTGCCATCACGCCTGGCTAATTTTGTATTTTTAGTAGAGACGGGGGTTTCTTCATGTTGGTCAGGCTGATCTCGAACTCCCGAACTCAGGTGATCCACCCGCTTCAGCCTCCCAAAGTGCTGGGATTACGTGAGCCATCCCGACCAGCTCAAGGCATCTATTCTAAGAGATTCTGAAGAAGAAGAAGAAAAAAAAGATGTGCCTTATAGATTTATATGTAAATGTGTTTATTACAGAAGTATTTATAATTTAGTAAAATCTGAACGAACATACATACACAACAGGTGGGGAATAGACAAACAATGCATGATTCAGCCATAAAACGTGTTCCATGTAGCCATTAGGAATCATAATTTTAATTAAGTGAGATTATTTATAATTTTAATAATACTAGGTCCTTACATTAAACACTTTTGGGTATCTTTTAGGGATAGTGTCTAATTATCTTTCCATTAATCCTTTCCCCAAAACCTAAAGCATGCTTTCCCATGGATACAAACTACTACATTGTATGAATATGTAATTAGTGGGAGTCTCTCTGAGCCTACTCTGGCTCAGAAAGCCATCCCTAAAGAAGAAAAAGAACAAACAAACAAACAAAAAAACAATTATTTTCTAAACTCTTTATTTTGGATATTTCTGTTTCTATGTTTTGTTACTGCAGATTTTACTAGATTGAATAGCCTTAACCATAAATACTTGCATCAATCTCTAAATTTTTTTCTTCAACACTAACTTTTGCAATTAGAATTTTGGGGGCAAACGATATATTTTAAAGGCCCTTGCCATGTATATGTGGCCAAAATGCTTCCAGAAACATTTCCACTTCTACTAGCAAAGTATATGATTATACCTACAGAGTATTTAAGTTTTATTCCTTTACATATTTTTTCATTGCCAAAATTGTCTATAGTAGAAAGAATGAATAATAAATAACCTAAAAAATAAATGAAAAGTTCTCCCTCTGAGGACAACAGAGAAATTTTTAGCTTAGAGGCTAATAATAAT